GGAGAACGCAGGCTTGCGCGGAGCGCCCCCCCCGCGCCCCCCGCGCCGCCGCCGCCGCGAGTCCAGCTCGCAGGAGGAGGAGGTCATCGACGGCTTCGCCATCGCCAGCTTCAGCACGCTGGAGGCGCTGGAGGTGGGTGGGCGCCGGGGACCCACACCCCGGACCCAGCCGTGTGGGGACCCGGAGGGAGGGATCGGCGTGCGACGCCCAGGACCGGGTAGCGGGTGGTGCCGGGTTTGGGAGGCGGCGACAACGTGGACACTGAGTTCTTCCCCATCGCCCTCCTCTTCGGGGCTCTTGGAGCAGAGAGGGGTCAGCCCTGAGTGACACTTCTTGGTAAAGGCTATTCGTCCCAAGGGTAATAGGTTGGCAAAAAAATATTGCCTGTCTGGGTGAGCTATCCCGGACAGTTTTACACAGCAAGTACTGCTCTTCTCGCCTGGACGCAGGTGAGTAGAGGAGAAAATGAGAGATGGGTAGGGAATTTTGTCCCTATCATATCTTTCTGGGTGGAAATGGCTGGCTAGGTGCTGAGGGTGAGGAGGGCGAATGGTCCCAGGAACTCAGAGACCTCCAGCTAGGTGAGCCCCCGCAGCACTGCCTCTGAGGGGTTCTCCTTTGCTGGACTTTGGGTCGCAGCCAGCACCCATAGCCTGGGACTCCCATCTTAGAAGCTGAGCTTTGGGAAAAGGGAAGTGGGGTCTGCTGGCAGCCTCTGGGTCGGGCGCTGGTGTGAGGGATGGCCCTGGGTGTGTGGTGGCAGGTTTGCTACATTCTGTCTGGATAGTAGGTAAACATAACCTCAGGACAGGGTCTCATAGCTTGAGCTCACCATAGTGCCCAGCTTTTTTCATTGTGCACATTGGGATGTCTGAGGTGGGTTCTGGGCTCACGGTCCCCAGAGAAGACCTTTGGTAGGCTCCAGTGGCCCCATCTCCAGTATTGGTGAGTGCTGGGTCTCTGTGCCAAGGAGGACAGTCTAGGGTGGTCTGTCTCACGACAGAGATGGCATGAAGTTTCTTGAGCACTAATTACAAGCACATTGTGTACCAGCCCCTGCACTGAGTGAGGCTGTCAGGTGCTGCCCTGTGCTCCAGGTCTGTTCATCTGCCTGGCCCAGGAGGGGAACTGATACCCCGGCCCTGGCCACCCCCTTCACTCTGTCCTCTGCCCCACATGGTGATTCTGTCATCACTGTGGAGTTGGCTGAAAGGTCAGCCCCTCTCCCCAGCCCTCAGGCTCACCTGCTCTGCTGCCTGTGATCCCCATGTGTGACTCTCTTGTGACTGGTTGCCCTCAGCTTTTGCCCCCTCACGCATGTCAACTGGTGGCAGGCACTGTGTCTGCTGTGTCTCCTTCAGGATACCCAGTGCCCAGGGTAGAGCTCACATGGACAGTATCCTGGGCAGAGGGCGGGAGGGCCTCGGCTGCTGCCTGAGGTCACAGTGCACTGAGGTTAGCAGAGCCCACTTGTGTGCAAGGCTCCACCTGTTCCCTTCCTCTGGGCTGCCACAGGCAGTGGTTTAGGGGCTTATGCTGATTTAGGCCAGCCCCGCGAGGTCACCACGAGGCTCACCTGACACTTCTGGGCCTGTAGGGGTGATCTTAGTCACCTCTCTGCCCTTCTGAGATTGCCTAGAAAAGTACAGTGTTCTCAGCAGCTCATGACTCTAGATCTCCCCAGAAGGGTCTGGGTTGCTTGTGTTTCTTGCTGAAGCGTACTAGATTTCCCCTGGGGTTTAGATACTTCATAACATTGATGGTAGTGAGTGGCTTGGTAAATGTTAAGCCTGCCAAGTTGTCTTTACAGACATGAATTGTTTTGTTCTTAATTAAGTTTATTGGTACAGTTTAAGTATACATAATGATCACATTCATCATAGGGAATTTGTACCTGCACGTGCACGTGATATATCTTGACTCTTCCCCCCCCTTCCTCTGTCCTCCATTAACTCCTCCTCCCCTCCTTATTTACAAAAGCTTTGTTTCCATTTTTTCCTTCTTTTCTTGTTTTTTATTTTCCCTTCCTTCCTTTCCCCCGCCCCCTCCGTAGTTCGCCTAGCCATTTGAACATTTTCTTGCTATTTCACAATATCTGTTACACGTTTTGGTACAGACATGAATTCTTCACTCAGGTGACCTCAAGGAAGGCCAGTGGCCTCTACTTCATAGATGGGAACACTGAGGCACTGTGCATCAAGTGTGAGGTACAGAGCCAGGGAGCCAGCCACCAACCTGCAGTCTGAAGTGTGCTCACTGCCCTGAAGGCCCCCATGGGTCCCTCACAGGGAGGCATATCCCAGGTGCAGGGTCCACAGGACCCAGCCCAGAGGCTGAGCTGCCCTCCCTCCCACCGCCTGCTCACTCACAGTCAGTCTACCCGGGCCTGGGAGCTGCCTCGCCTTCACCTTCATGTCCCCATGGAGTGTCAGCGACATTGCATGTGTGTCAGACAAGCCTGTGTAAAGCGAGGCACAGTGGTGGGTGTGGCAGAAGGAGACTTGTGAAGTGTATCTTTTAAGCAGAAGAGGGTACCATACCTTTGTCCCCAGTAGCTCTTCCACCCCTGCATAACTGTGCTCGCACATGGAGGGAAGTGGTCCCTGCCTCTTTTGTGCCTGGGGGGAGCAGCAGCTCCTCCCCAAACTCGAGGTGGTGATTGTCTGGTGGTTGGCTGAGGAGGGCAGAGTTGTTAACAATCTGCAGAGGTCTGTGGCAGGGCTGAAGGATGCAGAACGGTTGAGTGGGCAGGGGCTCTGCAGATCTGAACCTAGTCTCCTTCAGCTTTCTGTTTCTCTTAAGGATCCAAGGAAGCAGGGACACTTAGGGAACATGGGAGCTGGCTCTGCATTGCCCATGTTCCCTGTGATATCTCTGGCTAGTCATACTGATCAGCAGTGACTGGGGCCCCTCCCCCAAGGGCAGTACTGTGGTCAGGAGCAGGAGTCAGCTGCCCTGTCTGCCTCGGAGATATGTGGGCCACAAGCAGGGTCCGGTGGTGTGTCTGATATAAGCAGCTGCCCTCAGGCCACAGAACAGGTTGTGCTGGTCCCTGTATCCCCCGGAGGTAGCCAAGGCCGGCTTCCTGAGCAGACATGCACATGGAGAGGGATGGCCCTGCACCTTCCGCCTCAGGAGGACTCTAGTCCACAGGACTACACTGCGCAGCTGGGGCCAGCCATGCTGGGCACTTCTGTCTCTAGGTGCAGGTGGAGATGTCTGGCTTGGCACCCATAGGTGGTTTTGTTGTTGATGTAATTTGACTGTCTCGTACAGCAAATTGCTTTACCTGTTTTAAGAGTCCAGCTCTAGAAAGATAGGTGCTGCAGAGTTTCTGCTGCAGTTCACTCTCCCATAGTTATCAGGTCTTTCTGGAGCTCTGGAGACATGGCCAGACCCAGGTGTGCTGTCTACATAGAAGGAAGTCCATCCTCACAGTAGCAACATAGCCAGACCCAGGTGTGCCATTTAGATTGCAGGGACTTGTTCCTCTCAGTGGAGACATAGCCAATTACAGGTATGCCATCTACACAGTGGGGGTGAGGGGTGTTCCTCACAGCATAGACCTAGCCAGACAGAGCTGTGCTGTCTACACAGAAAGGGAATCATTACTCACAGTGGAAATACAGACACAAGTGTGCTCTTTACACAGAAAGGAGCGTGTTTCTCACAGTGGAGACATAAGCTGACCCAGGTGTGCCATCTACACAGAAGGGAATCGTTCCTCACATTGGAGACATAGCCAGTTACAGGGGTGCCATCTACATGGTATGTGTGGGTGCTGTTCTTCACGGTGTAGACATAGCCAGACAGGTGCGCTGTCTACACAGAAGGGGACGTGTTGCTCACAGCAGAGGTGTGGCCAGTCATAGGTGTGCCATCTACACAGAAGGGGGTGTGTTCCTCACATTGGAGACATCCAGTGTCTCCAATTGGAGACACAGGTGTGCCATCTACACAGACAAGGTGTCATTCCTCACAGTAGAGACATAGCCAGATATGGGTATGCTGTCTACACAGAAGTAGGGGGCCACTTCTGTGGCTACAGTTAAGAGTTGTAGCCAGACACAGGCATACCATCTATGTAGGACAGTTCTTTTTCTTACCTGTGGATTGTCCCAGAAGGGGATAAAGATGGAAAGGGAAACAGTGACAGCCACCATGCTGACCTTCCAAAGCTCCAGGATAAGGTTTGGTTAGTGTTAGAGGAGCTGAGCCCATCCCAGCAGCAGATAGGGCTCCCACACAGTGTTAGCCCAAGTGGGAGTGCAGGGTCTCAGGTGCCGCTGGGGTTTCCACCCTGGGCCAGGTCCTGGAGTTCAACTCAGTGGACTCCATGAGCCCTAGTGGGCCAGGTGGGGCTTTACAACACAGTTCAGGGCTCCAGGGCACGAGGGTCCGGGTGGAGGTGTTACCAGGTATGTCAGGAGCTAGGATGTGGCCCATCCAGCACTGTCCACATCAGGAGTGATGATGTTACTTTGAACGTCTACTTTGGTCCTATTCTTGGGCCTGGTCCTCCATCCTAGAGGGACAGGAATGGGGGCTAAAGTATGTTCTATTTGGGAGTCTGAGCCTCCTTCCCAGAGTACCTCCTCCTCACTGCCTCTTGCTCTTCAGGTGGGGCAACTGAGGTCTGAATAGGGTAAGTGCTTTACCTGCAGTACTGAGACCTGTCCTGGCATCTGCCCTGGGATATATTGGGCTGTCTAGAGGCAGTGTTGACTTTGTTCCTCCCAGAGAGTCTCAAGGTGGTGGAATGAAGCTGATCCTTCCAAAGAGGTAGACAACACAGGACATGGAAGTAATGCCTGGTCCATCGACCTGTGTCAGTGTGCACATGTGGGCTGCCTTGACTGGCCCCCTGTGGCTCTGGGGCCCCTGCTCCTGTGCCTCTTCACCTTTGGTGCCTTCACCTCTTGGCCCTGGCTTCCAGATCTTCCAGGTCCTTCCTGCACCCACATCTCTGTGCCCAGGTCCTCCACTCTTGCTGGGCAGTCTTCACCCTGGGCTTCTCTGGAAGGGTCCTCCTTGGTGTCCTGTGCCTTAGCCAGAAGTGCCCAGCAGCAAGCCTGGCCACCTGCCCCAGGGCTTCCTGTCTGGCCCTGTCTCCCAGCAAGCCACTCCACTCT